CATAACGCATGCATAAGTAAATACCTCGATGCATAAGTCATGGGAACATTCATATGTGCTGTAGCAGCGGTCATTTTTGTGCTTTCTAACAGCCCAATGTTGCCGCAACGTGAGAAAATTTACCAAGAACTCATATGAGTTATAATTCTAATTTCTCAACTCCAGAATTTTCTTTTCAACACTGTGGGTGATGTGAAATGGATGTACTAGTTTCTTTTCCATCTAGACATTGACGCTTTGGCCTTCCAATGTTAAGAAAAGTATTATCACAAATAATGGTTTTGAGTAACAGTCATTCCATCTTCTCTATCTTCCGTTGTAATCATAACCATCATCGTTATCACTACATCTCAGTATAAGTATCTTGGCAGGGAGATTCGACCACTGCCATGTTGATATTTCTGACAACGAAATTACGACAATTGTCATCCCTCCGAAAATGCATGCTACACGATCAATCAATCAATCAGTCGATCAGCGGTCACGTGTCATAATTTTAATATTTTGTTATTACTGAGAACGTTACTAAATAGCTATATGTATGTTCTTGGCGCGACAGCCCGCGAACGGGCCAGGGCCTACCAGCAGCGACCCAGACTCGAGGCAATCAATGGGTTTAAGGGGAACGTGTGGTTAACGCGAAGACATCCCTACGCCATATTCTGGTCTTCTCAGCCTGAGAGGTGTGTTTTCTCATCGTCACATAGCAACATATTGGAAGGACATTGTAAGAACATTGCAAGGAAAATGCACATTATAATCTTGCCCGACCGGGAATCGAACCCGGAGTCGCGTCATGGAAAGCGAGCAATGAGCTAAACCGCGAGGGAAAATAGAATACTAAAAAACAAATAAATAAAATAAAAGGAATTGTTTATTGGTGGCGAGGCACCGGGCGTGCTCTGGCGCTTGACCGCCGCAGTGCGTGGGCGTGCCCCTCGCGCCTGGGAACCGCCACTGCGCGCCGTCCCAGCCGCCGCCGCCGCCGCCGCCCGGGGCAAAAACAAAGGCCTGCGGACGCGCGCGGAGGGTCCTCGCCGCCAGACAAATTCCCCGCCCTGCCCCGCCACGCCACGCCGCGTCCCCGGCGCCGCGCCGCGCCGCTTCGCTGGCGAGCGGCGGCGATGAGTCAAGTGTGACCCGGACTCGCCCCCGCGCCTCGCCCGCCGCCGCACCGTCCCTCCCGCCCACGCTCCGCACCGCCACAGCCCCGCTGCTCTTCCCACCGGTGTGCTATGATCACGCATATGTGCACATGCACGCGTGTCGAAACGCTGGTGATATTTATGATTGTTTTACGTTTTATATGTCATGTGGTCCTTGTCCGCGACGTACACGTACTCGCAGAACTACTGGAGATTTGAAAGATCATGGGGCATATGAGGATACGATGTTCAATTCATTATGAGTATCATATTCATACTGAAAAATATAAACGGATATTTGAAGGCTTTCAGGACTATTAATTGGGTTACGGGCAGCTAGAAATAATGCTTTATATATACAAGTAGGTTTCCATCAGAATATTTAGGGGTGAGGAACCTTTCACGAACATGCAGTTTTATATATGGAAACAATATGGTTCAAACCACTTGCAATTACGAAAATTGCTATATTTTTAATAACGCCGGAAACAAACTTCTATTCTCATCCACGCCAAAGCAGAGATGTTAATGTGGCGTTGGCAGGTGTTTACTAAATTGTAGACAACTGTCATAGTCGCCAATATGTGGACGTAATGTAAAATAGAAACTATGCACTCTACAGGCGCGTTTAAACCGTTTCTGTTTCCCGGAGAGCAGTTCCTCCTCTTCTCTCCCCTCCCTCTCGCCGCCGCGAGGAAGAGCGCCGCTGGCACATCGTCCCGCACCGCCCCTCTCCGCTCTGCCTCGTCCCGCGCCGCCCTGCAATTCTCTGCTCCACCCTACCCCAGCCGGCCCCGTTCCGCTCCGCCCTGACTCATTCCGCCCCTGCCCCGCCCTGCCTCATCCCGCCAGGGCCCGGAGGAAGCAGCAGAGTCGGGCGGAGCGTCCTCACCCCCCTTGTAACTACCCCACTACGTTATATATGGAAAACAATTATAGGTCAAGAACTTGCAAGTACGCGACAAATGCTATATTTTGTATAAAAGCGGCCGGAATACAGAACTTATGTGCTGAGTTGCTCATCCACGCCGAAACGCAAAAGAATGGTTTAATAGTCTGAGCGTTGCGGGCGACGGTGTTTTACTAAATTGCTTAGCAGACAATCCGTCCCATGAGTCGCCTCCATATTATGTAGTGAGGGAGGAAGTGCGGCTAATCGTAAAATAGACATAGAGACTATCGGCGGACTCGTGACACAGACGCGGATTTGGTGAAGACCGTTACGCGTATGCCACAGTAGAAGACAACGTATGGCGCTCTGCGTTACTCTCCCGCGATCCCTCAGTCGCACAGCCGACGCTGCGTTCCTCAACAGACGGCGCCGCGCGTGAAAGACAACTGGCGCGGCTTCTTCCAGGTCCCGTCAGCCTAAAGTGCTGGAAAACGTGCATCCGCGAGCCTCGAGGCATGGGCGGTGCCTGGCAGTTCCTCAGCGGAACCGCCGCCACTCTGCGAAAATAATTGCTGATCTGCCTCACACCGTCAGACGCGTACCGCGCGAGAGCCGCGACAGCCGGGGCCCCGCGTCTCCGCTGGGATTCTCCGCTCCTCCGCCCTCTGCTACGCTATTTCCGCTCAGGCCTTTGGCCCGCAGGCAGCCGAGAATGCGAGGCCGGGCGCGGGACGACCCCAGATGGCGCCGTTCACTCCCCGGCCAGGGAGCCAGCGCCCCGCGCGCGCGCCCCGAGACGCAAATCTTCCCGGCCGCACCCGGGGGCAGCGAGGAACGCAAGCGTGTCTCCTGCCACGCTCCGCCACTGAACTCATCTCGCCTCCAATCCTCTGCCCGCTCTACCACCACCGCTCCTCCCAACTACCGTGCGACGATCGCTAACCCGCCCGCCTCGCAATCCTCTGCCCGCTCTACCCTGCTCTCGCCCCGAGGACCTTCCTGCCCCGCGCCGCTCTCGCCCACCCTGCCGCGTCCCGCCCTCACAATTCCTCCTGCCCCGCTGCTTACCCACCGCGCCTCCCAGAAAGACCGCCGATCGCGATCCGCGCCCGCCTCGAACCCTACCCTGGCTTTTCGCCCAAGGGAGCTCCGCTACGCACCCCTTTACGCTCCCGCCCCTACCACCCGGCAATCCGCAGTCCCCGCCCTACCGTGCTCTCGCCCCCGAGCGACCTCCACTCCGCCCGCCCCGCTTCCCCCCACCCTGCCGCGTCCCGCCTCGCAATCCCCCCTTGGCCCTCTCTACCCCGGACCGGCGCCTCCAGAAAGACCGCCTGATCGCGATCCGCCCCGCCTCGCCTTACCCCTGCTTTCGCCCCAAGAGCTCCCTCTCGCACCTCGCTCCGCCCGCAATCGTCTATCCCCGCCCTATCACGGC